AGCTTTTTGGGAAGAGTTTCCATGGCACCTAGAATCAAGTCTATCCCTGTGTATTAACAACCTGATTGTAACCTGAGTATTATCTTAGGTTTCTGCTCTTCCAGATACTCCCTCAAGAACAGGAGCAAAGAATCAACCTGGCTGGTGAGACCCTGTCACCTGACTGCTGAAGGAAACAAATCCGACAGCCTATTATCACTGACCTCTGTTTTACCATGGGACTGTAGATCCCTCAGCCCATGCCCAGGTTGGAAGCCCACAACTCTGGAACACACAGGCACCTATGACATCATCAGATCTGCTTTAAAAACTCTATGAAAGCCAGATGTGGTGGTTGTGCCTACAATCCCACATTCTGGAAGCCTGAAGCAGGACAACTGTACGTTCAAGCCCAGCCTAGCAACTTTGTGACTTAACAAGACCCTGTCTCAAAATAAAGAATAAAAAAGCCCAAGTGTGACAGTTCTGGGTTCAATTCTCTTTTTTTGGTACCAGGGATTAAACTCACAACCACGTGCTAGCCAGGCAGATGCTTACGGCGCTGAGTTAAAACCCCGGCCCCTTCTGGGTTTAATTCTTAGTACCTAAAAAAAAAAAAAAAATTCTATAAAGTGGTCAGCACCAATAATGCCAGGTACTAATCAGACTAGAGGATGACTGTTTTACAGATGGACCCCGTGAGGTTCGGAAAAATGAAATCAATGATTTCTAAGTGTTGGTCCAAGAGCCAGTGAGTGACAGTCCTTGTGGTGTTTTTACTGGTTTTCAACAAAACTGGGAAAATAAGAATCATGTGATGATTTTTTTTTTTTTTTTTGTCTTTTTCGCTTTTATCGGTACCAGGGATCGAACTCATGACTGCCTGCTTGATGATTTTTTTTTTTAAAAGCTGCTATTTAGGGGCCGGGGGTTTAGCTCAGCGGTGTAAGTACCTGCATGGCAAACTCGAAATCGTAAGTTTAATCCCTGGCACCAAAAAAAAAAAAAAAAAAAAAAAAAAAAAAAGCAGCAGCTGTTATTTTTCAATTTACAAATTATGTGATTATGTCCCATCTTCAAATATCTGTATCAAAATACTCCCTTTTCATAAAATGATACTGATAGGCACTGGGATTTGAAGCAGTATCTTTTGATTAATTTCCCTACCTTCTACTTTCTTTCTTTTTTTTTTTTTGTGAGCTGATGATCAAATTCACAACCTCTCACCTGGCAGGCAGGCACTTATGCCACTGAGTTAAATCCCCGGCCCATCCTCCTACTATACTGTTTATTTTTGCAGTACTGGAGATTGAGCAAGGGCTTTGTCACTGAGCTCCATCCCCAACCTTTTTTAAAGTATTTTTTTTATTTTGAGACAGCATTTCACTAAGTCACTAAATTGCCCAGGCTAGGTTCAAACTTTCAGTCCCTTATCCTTAGCCTCTGAAGGTGCTGTGATTATAGGCATAAGTCACTACCTCAGCCAATTATTTTTAAATAATTTAAAAATAACAAAGTATCAAAGTAAATTTTAAAAAACTGTTTTGAGACAGTCTTGCTATGCTGTTCAGATTGGCCTTGAACTTCTGGGCTCAAGTGATTCTCTTGGCTCATCGTCCCAAGTAGGCAGGATTACAGACAGGCACATTGTGCCTGGCCCAAAGAAAATTAAACAATTATTTATACTTCTTTAATTGGCACATGTGTGTAATACATGTTTATATTCCTTGTGAGGAGCTGGTACATGAACATAATACACATTCTTTTTTTTCATCCCCTTTCCCTTCCCTCTCCCCGCCCCCTTTGCATATGTTTGCACAAGTGTATACTGACTTTTTTTTTTGTCATTTTCATTTTTATCGGTACCGGGGATCGAACTCACGACCGCCTGCTTGCAAGGCAGGTGCTTATGCCGCTGAGCTAAACCCCCAGCCCCTATACTGACTTTTTAAAAATGTAGTGCTGGGGGTCGAACCCAGGGGCCTCACACAAGTGCTCCGCCACTGAGCCACAACCCCTACCCCAGTCAATCAATAACTTCAAATAAAGCTCAACACAAGTTAACTTTTCATAGTATATTATGCAGGATTTAAAACACAGATCCGTCGTATGGAGAAGGCAGCAACTATGAAAGCAGGCAGGATGGAGCTGCAGTTTCTGACCTAGCTCTATGAGAGGAGAAAGCAAAGGACACCTCGGGCTAGGTTGTTTGTAAGCTCAGCAGCATTTCAGGGAACATGTCTCCCCCTGCTGGCAATGATGTGATAGAGTCTAAAACCACACAAGAGAGGACTTCACTGGGTAAGACCCTTTAGCAAGAGAAATGGTACTTCAAAATCTACTCTTCCTCACAGGGACCTTGTCCTAACCAGGAATGTGAGAACAATGATTAAAAGAACTCCCAACACCAGGAAACCATCAGGAAAGATGCTGATTTAAAAATCCTAAGTCAACAAAGAAAAGAATTATGGCAATTTGGCTATTCAAAAATACTAAGTATTCATTTTCTTCAACAGTTTATTCTTACATATGGTTATATAAAAACCACACAATAAGATAATCATAAAAGTATGCCTATCATTAAACAGGAGCTGGGCATGAGGGCACATGCCTGTAATACCAGCACCCAGAAGGCTGAGGCAGGAGGATTGTGAGTTTGAGACTAGCCTGGGCTACAAAGTGAGTTCTAGCCAGCTCCAACTGCATAGAGACACCCTGTGCCAAAAAGGAGGAGGAAGAAAAGAGGAGGAGGAGAAGGATGGGGAGGAGGAGGAGGAGGAGGGAGGAGGAAGATGGGGGGAGGAGGATGGGGGGAGGAGGAGGAGGAGGAGGAGGAGGAAGAAGAAGAAGAAGAAGAAGAAGAAGAAGAAGAAGAAGAAGAAGAAGAAGAAGAAGAAGAAGAAGAAACATCAAACTTTTTAGCTTTATTGAGTGCATCAAACTTTTTAGCTTTATTGAGACAGATCTTGCTATGTTGTCCAGGCTGGCCTTAAACTTACTATGTACCTCAGGCTGGCACTCCTCTGCTTCAGCCTCCCCCCAAATTTGTTTTTGAAATTCAAATTGTTGATACACGACTGCTCATAGGCAGATAAAAATCACAGAAGTCTGATTCACTGCCTTTTTGGAGACCAGGATAAGATTTCCTTTTATGCCTTTGCTTATTCTTTTTTGTCTGTACACATTATGTCCCACTGACTTTTATTACTATAAATCTTTTATCTGTCCTTGACAGCTTTGCCTGCTGGTCTCTTCCTCCCCTAACAACAAACACAAATCAAGCTGCATGGGTTTTTTCCTCCCTTGATATTTTGTTCAGAATCTTCTGACACTTATCATATCCTCCCTCATATTGCTTATTACAGCATGTGCTATTTCCCATGTCAGATTTTAAGCTGTTCAAAGGCAAAGGCGGGTTTAGTCACGTCTTTGCAGGTAAGAGCACTGGCTTAGTAGCTGTCATCCTGGGCAGACGCTCAGTTCTCTTACAGATTGGGAATTACAGCACCTGTACCACAAATCTGTTGAGGCCTCATCAGAGAATGTATGTAAAGCTGCCTGTCTTTTACCGTTTGATAATGGTTAACTATCATTTTCATTCTGTCTCCAAAGCAACAGCCTTACATGCTGTAGGCAGTCAACTATTATTTGTTGGTAGAGTTTATACTAATAAGTACATTGCTCATATCCAGAAATACATTAGTATTAATGTGTCTGAAGGACCAACATGATTAGGTATGATCTAGTGGCACTTTCACATTGGATTAGTAACACAGGACAATTCCTCATCATCTAGATCAGCCCTGCAGTTTAACTGTCTGCAATGCGGAGACATAATGTGCCATAATCCTTACTGTCCAACACAACAGCCATTAACCATATGTAGTTACTGAGCTCTTAAACTTCTTCCACAGCAATTAAAGGGAATTTTTTCTTTTTTGGTATTGGGACTCTAACTCTGACCTCTGGTTGCCAAGCAGGTGCTGCACACTGAGCTCAATCTCCGGCTCTCATTAATAGGTCCTCGGCGACTATTGTATTGGACAGCACAGCTCCAGACCCTGTCACTGTCAGCCCTTTACTGAGGGTTAAACCAAAGGCCTTCAGATTTGAGCTACAACTCCAGCTCTTTTTAAATTTTTGCAACGAAGTCTCCCTGAATCGCTTAGGCTGGTCTTGAACTTGTGATCCTACTGCTTCAGTCTTCCAAAGTGCTGGGATTACAAGCCAGTGCCACTGGGCCAGGCTGTGAGCAATCTTTTAAATTCACTGACGTGTTCTCTCTTCGCAAAGTAACCCTCACTGATCAAACGCATCCTTTGATTTCGACCCCCTTTTTTCATTAGCTGCCACACTCTTGTTCATGGGAAACTTCGCGGCTCGGCGCCTGGCATGAGCTGCAGTAGCCACATCAACCCAACACCTAAGGAGCGTGGGGCCAGACAAAACGAGCCAAACAGCCAGTGACGCGAAACCACATAAGTGAAACAGTCATCGCGGTCCGGCCCCGCGCAGCTTGATAGCAAGGGTTGACGCGAACGCAGACCATGAGACAGGCGTGGCGAACACGTGAGCGCCGGGCCGCCCAACCCCCGCCCCTCCCTTTCTTCTCCCACGCGGGGAGGCCTCCCACGCCGGTTCCGGTTGCCACTAAAAAAGCTTCCCGCAGCTACACACCCTGAAAGCAGCCTCCCTCATCACCCTAAACGAATCACACGCTCCGTCGTGTGCACTGTAAACTGGCCGAGCCCGCCCCTCGAAACCCCGCCTCGAGACCGTCACCACCATGCCCACTGCTCGAAACCCCCCCCAAAAATGGCGGCCGGGCTCCAGAAGCAACCACAGAGTCCGCTTTCCGCAGAGAGAGCGCCGGCCTCCAGGCGCCGTCCCCGCCGCACGCGGCCTCGCCTTCCGGCGGAGGCGGGGAAAGGGGTGGGGAGGGGTGTCTCTAAGGGCTCCTCTAGGAGAACAGCGCGCAGTCTCCATGGTACCTGGCGGGCCGAACCTTGTCACGTGGCGCGTAATGCAGTCGCGGAGGCGGGGGGAGGAGAAATGGGCGGGAGGCCAGGCGACTAACTGGAGACCCAGGCAAGGACTGGGTTGTCATGGAGCCGAAAGGCCTGGCTCGCGCATGCGCCGCTTGACCTGAGGGGCAGGTCGTGGCGCCCCGACCCTGGCCCTAGGTGAGAAAGGGAAGGCTCGGCTAGCTGGAAAGAGAACCGGGGTGGCGCGATCCGGGAGGGTTTGGGCCAGGGCGTCGGAAAAGCAGGTGGAGTAGGGGACAGAGTAAGGGAGGGAGCGAGGTAGACAAGGAGGAGAACCGGGACTTTCGGGGGGCGGAGGCCAAATGGTAGGAGCTGAGGCTCGCACCACCCGTTGCGCCGTCTGCGTGGTTCTTGGTGAGGGGCGAGCCCGCGTGGGAAAGAGAATCGCGGGCCAGGAGGGGTCGCGAATGGCGGGGGCTTGTGTAAGTCTGCGGGGTGAGTCGTAGGGGCAGACAGGTCCCGGTCTTTTGCTGGGGGCCACTGCCCGCCGCCGTCTGTGCGGGGAGAGAGCTAGGGTCTGGGGGCTTGGAGCAGAGGCCGGGGAGGGGGCAGGTGCGTAGGCGCGAAAGTGTCGCCGGGGTGAGGGTCCCAGGCTTGCAGATACTTGTTGTCTGGCTGTTGGCGCAGGTGTGCTATCTTTTCCAAAGACAGAAATAACCTCCACTTTGCTGGTTGTATTTCCAGGGTGGCCAGTTTGCCGGGAGTGCTACCAGGGTTAGGGATGTGGAAGAAACGGTGGGCAGTGCTAAGCAGTTAGTGGCTATGGGTGATTATGGGATAGGGTTATTCTGATCAGAGCCCAGGTCCCAGGCCAGAGCCCAGCTCTTTGCTGTTGCCCAAGACCTGGCAGTGCACATTGCCTGCCTGGGCGTTTGCCCTGGGCAGTCCTAGGGTCTGCCCAGTTCTGCCCTGCTGAGCTGGCAGGCTGGTGGGTGCCTGGAGGGAGCACATGCTGTTTGGCACAGATGCAGTGTGGGCTGGTGGGAATAGATAGGTGGGCGCTGTTACTGTGAACTTGGCAGCCAAGATTTGAGAAAGTTCTGTAGTCCCTTTGGTGACATGAAGAACACCATACCTGGTTTCAAACATAGGAAACTATATGGAATCACGATTTAGGATCTTTGACAAGAATCTTCAACCAGATTTGAAGATGAGAATGAATGTGAAGGGGAAGATGGATATTCAGAGATTTGGTAGTTTTTTCACCTGTGTATTAAAATACAGATACTCTCCCAGAATGCTGTCTCTGAATATGCAGACCAGAAGAAAATGACTTCAGAGAAAATCCAGTAATATAGTTACGATTCTCGGATTACTTACAGTTTTGTAGTTGATGAATTTGTTATTTGCTATTGCCTTGTCAATTTATTTAAACCTCTGCTTGGGCTTTCACCTCTCACCTCTCTGTGCACGCATGTTATACACGTGATGCATTTTAAAGGGAGCGTGAGCTCTCAGGAATGTTGCCAAGTATCTATAAAAGGAGAGAGCTGAAAGCTGCATTTCAGATCCTTTGCTTGTAACTCTTGGGTGTCTTTTGATCAGAAACGTAAATGTTCACTGAGATTTTGGATCCTGCCAACCTTCAGTATGGTTGATGGATTTGCCTATAAGGTTTTAAGGGGTAGATTAAATACTTATTTCCAGCATTGAACCAGACCTGGAAGCTGGATCTGGAATTGACCATGGTGTTTGGAAATGCAAAATTTTTACCTTCAAGATGGTCAAGGTATTTTGATGACAGCTAAACTATGGCTGTCAGGGACAGAACAGAGATTTGTTGAAATTTATTCTCTTTTTTTTTTTTTTTTTTTTTTTTTTGTCTTTTTCCTTTTTATCGGTACCAGGGATTGAACTCACAACTGCCTGCTTGCAAGGCAGGCGCTTATGCCGCTGAGCTAATTCCCCAGCCCCCTGAAATTTATTCTCTTGATTAACTCCCATTGTTGGGAGCTGAAGAAGCCAAGATTAAGAACAAAAACAACCTTTGAGGTCGAGGAGACAGATAATTAGACATTAGCGTAAGAAGTACAAAAATTGAAGTGCTGTGCACGCCTGTAATCCCAGCACTTGGGAGACTGAGGCAGGAGGAATTCTTGGACTATGTAGAGTTTGGGGCCAGCATGAACTACAAAGCAGGAGGACCTTGTTTTATTTTTTTTTTAATTTATTTTTATTTTTTACTGTGTACCTCCTGTCTGGGAACTTTGTGAACAGTGTATAACATGTACACTGGAGGGCCCAGGGATTTAGCTCAGTGGCATGAGTGCCTGCCTGGCCAGCATGAAGTTGTGAGTTTGATCCTCATTATTAAAAAAAAAAAAAACCCAACACAAGAACATACACTAGAGGCCTAGTTGGGACCAATTTTGAATGTTTGGAAACTTAGTCTTTCTAGTGCAGAGTAAGGAACCTGGGATCAGGGATGCTTATAAAGCAGTGTTGGTAGCTTCCAGGCTGTGCCAGAAGCCAAAAGATGAGAAAGTCGTACAAGTTTACACACTTAGCACCTTCAATACCTTGTGTGCTTGTAACATTTAACTGTCTTGTCAAATAAATACCAAGGAAAGAAAAACTCCAGCAACTTCTTGAGGTATTGAGCCTTTATTGTTTGTGTTGCCCTATGTTTGAGAAGTGCTGGTGGTAGCTGCTGGCCCAGCTAGTCTGTCCAGGGCTTCTTTGGTGCTGTGGACCCTGGCGTGGGCTGTTAATGGCTTAACTGACCCTGGCAGCCTACTCCCTCTCAAAGGACAGGGGGAGGAATGCAGCTCTTTGTGCTCCCTCCCATATGAATCTTCTTCGCTGGGAAGCTGAGGTGCCGTGCTCCCTAAGGAGAACTTTATTCAGAAGAGTGGCTTTCATTTTTTTATTTTTTAGTTTTTTAGTTTTTCCAGCCCCACTTTTCATATTTTTATTTTTCACATCCAAATAGTTTGCCATTCTAAAGTTAATTATGTTAATTATTTGTTTGCAAGTGCTACCCAACTCCCAGGGTCTAAAATATTAGCATCTGTTCTTTTAGTCACTTTGTCACTTTCTTTTTTTTTTTTTTTTTCTTTTTATCGGTACCGGGGATCGAACTCACGACCGCCTGCTTGCAAGGCAGGTGCTTATGCCACAATGCTAAATCCCCAGCCCCTACTTTGTCACTTTCTTTTTTTTCTTTTTCTTTTTTTTTTTGGTACTGGGATCTAACTCACAACTGAGCATATGCAAGGCAGGCACTCATGCTGCTGAGCTAAATCCCCAGCCCAATTTGTCACTTTAATTATTTTGATTTTATGATTAATATTTTCTTCAAATTCTCAATGAGCCAAATAAATTCCTTTGTATTTTCTATAGCTTTTATTGGCCACACTTATTGATTGATTGAATCCATCAGGTTTCAGAGTAGCTTTTATTTTTAAAAAATATTATTAATATTATTTTGTTTTGTTTTTTTGAGACAGGATCTTGCTATAGAATTTAGGCTGGCTTTGAACTACCTGTGTAGCCTGAGCTGGCTTCGAACTTGCTGTGATCCTCTTGCCTCAGTCTCTTAAGTGCTGGGATTACAGTGCACTACCAAACTTGTATTTAGTTTTCAATAAGTTCTCACTATGTAGCCCAGCCCAAGTTGTGGCAGTCCTCCTGCCTCAGCCTCATGAGTGCTGGATTACAGGAGTGTGCCACCACACCTGATGACCACACTTAACAATAGCAAGACCATCCTCCCTGGTCATGAGGATTATAAAAGAATAAATTGGAATGCTCTCTCTAAAGTACTGCAGAGTAATCCATGTTTAATAAGATGATGTGAAACTGTCAAGTTCTTAATTAGTTACAACTAATACAAACTGCTTTCTTAATTAGGTCAGACCTGCTTTAGTCTGGATGCCCATCCTGAGCTTCATCTACTTCCATTTTGAAGAGGGTTTCTATTGACTTTTTTTTTTTTTTTTTTTTTTTTTTTTTATCGGTACCAGGGATCAAACTCATGACTGCCTGCTTGCAAGGCAGGCACTTATGCCGCTGAGCTAAATCCCCAGTTCCTTTTATTGACTTTTGAACAGTATTATTTTAAGAAAATTACACTATGCACATTTGTTGGGTTTCATTCAAAAGGTTCTTGATTTAATTAGAGATATAGTTTTTCATTTTAGTCTGCTTTTTAAACTGGCTTTTCCATGCTTTCAAACATCATAGTTGTCATTTCTTTTTCGTAGCACTCTGCAAATGTGACTGTCCCACTGTTTATCTTTTATATGAATAGGATTAGGCCTGTGACCTGAGTGTTTGATTTGACATGAATTGAATGAAGCCAGTCACCTTCATGAGTTAGTTAAGGGACAAAATAATTTTTCCTTGAATTGTGTTTAGAATTCACTCTCATTCAGACCTGTTTGTGTTCCCTTTAGTCCACTTCAACTGTATGCAAAAGTATGAACAAAGAGTGTTGCTCAAGGATCTTTTCAAAGATGCTCAAAAGCATCCTCATCTTCCATTTAATTTTATTGTGAATTTTTCCTCTGGAGTTCCTCACTAGATTAGCAGAAATGTTCAGGTCTGTTGTATTAACAGAAACGTTCAGCACTGTATTCCATATACAGCGCTGTTTGGCCGGGACCTGGTGTTTCCACTCAGAAGGACAATAGGACAGAGCCATGCATGGATTATACATGAAAACGTCCCAGGCTTTGCTGCCCTACCTGTTTTCATTATCAGTGTTTCCCTGTTGGCTCCCTATTTCCTTCATCCCTGCAGTATCCTCGGTGTTCTTACCAATCCAGTCTTGTAAAACTGGCTGTTCCTGGGGGACTCATTTGTTAAGATACTTGGTAGAGGGAACAGCACCTGGAATGTTCGCAGCCTCTGCCAGCTGTTCCAGGAGTGATTTGCCTCTTTTTTATAGAAAGCCCTTTTGGACCTTGTCTGGGTCCAGAAAAGTCCACATTTATAATCCCATGGAAAAATTACTGGAATTCTAATAAGTTAATTACAGTCTACCACTTCCAATACAACATACAGTGAAAATAAAGACACTAAGGCATATTTGTAGTTGCAGGAGGTAAGGGGGTCCTAAGTCCAGGCCAGAATAATGGCTAACCAGAACAAAGGCCTCCGCCCAGGGCCAAACCTGGGTTTTATTCATTCCTCAAGAGGGGAGTGGCTCTGGGTTGAGCAACTGTGAGAGTGGCAGGAAGTTACTAAAGTGTTGTGAGCTGGGCTAGATAGGAGGCCTGAAATCATCTCTGCAATATGCAGAGAGAGAGAGATGGAGAAAGAGTAATCTGCATGTCACAGATTGGCACAGTATTGGTGTTCTGGGGTTGGTGCTTCAATTTTAATGTGTAATTTTTTTTTTAATGTGTAATTTTTAAGCCCTGAGAAGTCATACTCCCTTAAGGCTCATTCTCAACCTACAGCTTGATGGCTCTCAGCCTGGTTACACACCCTACTTGGGAACTGTGAGTGGGGCATCAATGACCTGTCACATTGCATTAAAGACAACACATCTTCACCTCAGCTAGGCTCGTTTGCATTCTTAGGCAATTGACTGGATACGAAAGTGTCCTGGTCAGCTCTGTACATACCAACACACAGAGGTAGGGCCAGATGCTCTTCTTCAAGGAGAGCTGTCCAGGTGGTCCTCCAGATTTTTTGCCCTGTCAGCCCAAGTCTGGAAGCTGGACCAGTTGTAAGTTTCTGAGGCAAACATAGGCTTCTCCCCTGGGCTCTAGTCTAGTGACTTCCTACCCAGCATCTTTACTGGATGACCCACAGTCACTTCAATCTCTAGGAAGCACACTGAACTAGCCTCGTGGTACCTGCCACCACACCCAGCTCCCTTCTATGTTTTTGGGTTTAGAAATGGTATACACACCCACACACCAGTATAATAACCATGTCCCTTCAGGTCAGTTTCTGTGTTTCCATCTCCACATTCTAGGGCCACTACTGCAATTCATCTGGACTGCAGTAGTAGTGTCCATGTGATCATAGTGCCACTTTTGCTCATCTTCACCTTAAAATGCACATTTGGGATGCACAGTAGCTCAGTGGTGGAACACTTGCCTAGCAAGTGAGGCCTGATTCCATCCCCAGCACCACACACACACACACACACATCCATGTCAACACTTCTGATTCACATTCTTTTGAATTTCTCCTGCTCATAATACCCAAAGTCTTTCCAAATGGATCCCCAGGCACTACCTGTCTCCCCATCCCCTAGTATCACTGTAAAGCTGTCTCTTTCTGTGTATTGTGCTCTAACTTCCCTGGCCATGCTGTCTGAGTGTGCCTGCTCCTTTAGGGCCTTCACAGTGCCTGGACAACACCTGTATACTCAGCCTGTTGCCTTTCACCTGGCTAACTCCTGCTGACTCCACACTCTCCAAGTCTCCGTGACATGGCGCTACCTCAGTACTCCCTTCCCCCTCCATAGCACCGGTCAAAATAGTATGATGTGATCACTTGCTTACTGTGCATCTCTTTTTCTAGATCATAAGCTCCAAGAAGGAAGTGAACATGTCTGTCCCTCTCAGTGTCCCAGTCCTAGCACAAAGCCGGCCTGATTTATAGTAAGCACTTGATAAACATTTTTAATGAAACAGATTGCTACATTTTAGGTGTATGTAATGAATGATCACATTCATCATAGGAAATTTGAACCTGTGCATGATACATCTGGATTCTTTTTTTCCCCCGTTCCTGTACCTTCCCTTCAACTTTTCTCTCCCTATTTACAGAAGCTTTGTTTCCCTTTTTCCTTCTTTTCTCATTTTTTTTCTTTTCCCTATAGCCCCCTACGGGTCCCTCTTCCCATTTGACCGTTTTGTTCCTTTGTCACAATATCTGTTGTACATTTTGGTCCTTATTTACACTTTCAGTTTCTCAAACCAGAGAAATAATGCGGTATTTATGCACGTGTCAGATTCACTTGACTTAAGAGTATGTTCTCAAGGTATATCCATTTACCTAGAAGTGTCTCAGTTATCCTTCTAGAAAAAGTCTGTACTCTGTTCAGTCCTTTATCCAAAGGACTGATCTCTGTGTTAGAGATCTAAACTGTGGGAGGTGACAGTAGGTCACAAGCCTGCAGCTCTGTACCAGGAGAGCAAGTCTTGGTGGATGTTACCTGTCCCCTCCTGAGGCAGAAGGGCCGCCCGATTTGGTTACCCATTCCAGAACGTCTAATCAGATGTGCCTTTGTTAGCAGTTCACAAAGCTTCTACTGAATGTGGTTTGTGTGCCTTGAATCTATAATGCAATTGGAAGGCAACAAAAAGATTGTGAAACTCCTTCTGAGTGAAAACCATTTTGTTTAGTAAACTTGAAGCCGTTGTCAGTTGAGACTTGAGAAAATAAAAATGAAGTGGGCAAGGCCATGTTCTTTTTCCTTCCTTCAGTCATCGTTTGAATCACCTGTTTCAGCTCCCCAGGCAATGTCTTTTTAGGTAACTTTCGTTTCTCATAGGGCAACCCAGAGGCAAAGAGTACTGATGAACCCTCCTCCAGCCCAGTAAAACATGGAGAAGAAAATCCCATCCAGAGAGAGCCCCAGAAGACTCTCAGCCAAGCCAGGCAGAGCCACGGAGATGAAGAAAGCGGCTCATCAACTTGGTGCAGTGGCTGCCGAGTCAGATAAGGACTCTGGATTTTCAGGTTAAAAATAACTTATCCTTTCTATATTGTAAAGAATGAGTTGCCTAACAAATTTCCTTCCAAAAACTTACTGTGTGATACGGGTGGGAGATTTTCACCCACAAGATAAATAAGCTGTGCTTTCATTTTTTAAGATAGTGTCTTGCTGTGTAGTTTAGGCTGATCTTGAATTCACTATGTAGCTCAGACTGGCAGTCTCGGTGATCTTTCTGCCTCAGCCTCCTGGGATTACACGTATGTGCCATCATGCCCACCTCTATCGCATCTCTCAGAATGGTGATTCTGATGCCATATAGTAGGTTATCCATCAAAGTGAATAGGGTTTGCTCCGAAAGAATGATTTGACATCTTTTTTTCAGTTTAGAACCTTGACTAAAAAACCTTACATCCCTAACTATTGTAAGTGGTTACTAGAAAAAATACTCAAATATTTATAATTCTGTTGTATTAGCTCCTTTTCCATGGGAATAGTTATTTTGTGAGGAAAAACTACCGTGGTGTTTTGTCATCATGAAACAAATTTGAAAGCTTCCAGTTAAAAGTAGTACAGTCATACATCAATTATTTTTCTCTCTTTCTCTCTCTCTTTTTTTTTTATCAGTACTGGGGATCGAACTGCCTGCTTGTAAGGCAGGTGCTTATGCTGCTGAGCTAAATCCCCAGCCCCAATACATCAATTATTTTTATTTTTATTTTTGTTTTGTACTGTGGATTGAACTTATGACCTTGCGCTTGCCAGGGAGGTGCTTATGTCACTGAATTAAGTCCTCAGCTCATGCATCAATTATTAAGGGGGATAAGTTTTGAGAAAATTGTCCTTAGGTGATGCTTGTCATTTTGTGAATTCTACAGAGTGTGCTTACACAAACCTAGGTGGTGCAGCCTACTACACACCTAGGCTATCTGATATTGTCATTATCCAACATGCAGACCATCACTGCCCAAACCATCAGTATGTAGCACATGGCTGTATAGTTTTTTGCTAAGAAACTAATTTACTGTGCCTAAAAGTTGCCTCCCTGTAGCAGTCTTTCCCTCCCAGTTTCTGTGCTGTTTGTGTTTGGACTATGAGTCATCTGGCTCAACTCTAAAACTGAGTATCCACTGACACAAGAAAGTAGAATAGCTTTCATTACTGCTGTATCTTAAACCTAACCCAAAAGGGCTAGCTAATTCCCCCCTTGAAACTCTTAATTTTGTGCAGAGGCTTTTTTTTCCCCCCTAGATTTGAGGGTAGGGGTTTGAGCTACTCTGAAATGTTAAACTAATGTCAACATTTTTGGCCTAAGGGATGCCGCGTTGATGCCAGGGGATTTAAGTTGAGTCAGTAGCCTAAGACTGGAACTTTCTGAAGGAAAAGATTTATATTAGGTTCACAGAGCAAATCGATCAATTTTATTGATTCATTCATCATTAGTGAGAAAGACAGGTGTTACAGAAACTAAAACTCTCCTATCCTTAGACTGATGTATTTTCACCTTGTAGGCATGCTGAATGAGAAGCCAAATTATAGGCTGTTACTCAAATAGAAACAGCACCTGACCAAGGGATTAGAATAAGAGGAATTAGTGGGCTGCCTGGGGAAGGTGGCACTTTGGATTTCTTATCTCCATCTCATTGTAAGTCTACCCACAGCTTCATTCTAGATGCTGATGCCCAGACCCTCTCCTGGACAGTCTGATACCAAGAGGCTGAGGGAGGCCTGGAGTGGGGGTTTCCAAAACAAGTGCCTCTGTCCTGTGATCAGACAGGTTTGGGAAACACAGCAGCCACAGTGTTTCTTTTTTCTTTAAATATTATGTTTGCTTTTTATTTTTGTTTCCTGTTGTAAAGGTAATATTTGTGCATTGTAGAATTTTAGAATCATAGGGCAGTTGAAGAAGAAGGTACACGTTGCCCATAGTCCTGCCGTCTATCACTGCCAGTATTGTTGACAGTTTGGTACTTGTTCCAACAACTTCAGCTTTTTGTCAGGCCATTTATGTTAAGAAGTACTGCACTGTTCACACATAGGATGGTATGATAAAGAATCAAACTCATTTACATCCCAGAAAGGCCCCAGCGGATGCCTCCAGCCACTCCTGAGCCTGGTGCCAGTGAGTTTGTTACTGCCCAAGTTGTTCCTTTTACCTTGAAGCATGATGAAATTCATAAAACCAAAATAGTGTTTTTCATTTAAATTATTTTCCCAACTTTGTATTTGGAAAATTTCAATCTCTACTAGAAATAATAAACACTCCCATGAGAGATATTTTCTTTCAAGTGTTGAGGTGCACACTGGTAATTCCACCACCACTCTGGGAGGCTGAGGCAGCCAATTACAAGTTTGATTCCAAACTGAGCAAGTTAACAGTGTAGTGAGAACCTTGCTCAAAGTAAAAATAAAAAAGGGCTGGGAGTATGGCTCAATGTAAATGTCCTGAGTTCAATCCTGGTAATATCAGAAGAAAAAGAAAATAGCACTCTGTGTTTTCATTTTGCCATGCATGCTTTTTTTTCTCTCTCTACATGCATGTGCACACACACCCACACTGGCTGAACTATTTGAAAGTACGTTTCAGATACTTCATATTTCATCTGTAATACTTAAGTATGGACCTCCCCAAAAGAAGGACATTTTTCTTTATGACATCCAAGAAAGTTAATACTTTTTTTTTCTGGTACTGGGGATCGAACTTACGACTTTGCACTTGCCAAGTAGGTGCTGAGCCACTGAGCTGTATCCCTGGCCCCAGGGATAACTGGTACGGTTATTATTAGCTATAGGCTATATTGAGATTTCTGCCATTGTCCCAATAATGTCTGTTTTGGATTGGACACAGTGAAAGTTTATGCGTTGCATTTAGTTGTCCTGCCTTTTTTAGTCTTTTTTTTTTTTAGCTGTTATTTATTAATTTCCCCATCTATCTTCTTCTCTTCCTCCCTGACTGTGCAGTACTTCTTAACATACTTCTTAACATACTCCTTGATATCTTTGAGAAAGTGAAGCCTGTTGTTCCATAGTGTTTCACACTGGATTTTCTGGTACTTTCCCCACTATTGGAATGAGAGTAAGTATTTCTGACCAAAATACTATATTGCTGATGGTGTACTCTTTCCAGTGTAACACATAACTAGACTCCTAATTATTCTTGGTGATGCTCGAGTTTATCACTGGTTGAGATGATGTGCACTAGATTTTATTGTAAAAATAATCTTTTTTCTGTAATAAATAAGTAACTTGTAGAGTGATACTTGAGATTGTATGACTATTCTGCTTCCCACCCAACTCTTGACCAGTGGTTGTACTATCTATTCATCATTCTTGCCTGAATCGGCTGCTGTATTGGTGTTTTAAAGTTGTACTCTTCTGTCATTCTTTATCCATAATTACCTGACACTTTCTGTAAAAGATAATACTTTCCCTCTTCTATTCCCTTGTTGTGTATCACTGTGCATTCATGGAATGGTTTTGTAATTCATTTTGTTAAATCCATTAACATTATTTCTGACACTCAAATTGTCCAAAATTTGGCTAGTGGAAGTCTCATCGAGGTGCCCCTTATGTCTTTTTGGTGTGTCCCTATTAGTGTTGGTTACTTCCTTACTTTTTTTTTTTTTTTTTTTGTCTTTTTCCTTTTTTTTTTTTTTTTTTTTTTCGTTTTTATCGGTACCAGGGATCGAACTCACGACTGCCTGCTTTCAAGGCAGGTGCTTATGCCGCTGAGCTAAATCCCCAGCCCCTACTTCCTTACTTTTGAGAACAAGCTGTTCAGGCTTGTCTGGTACCTTCCCAACCAAAGGGTTGTAATAGCTTTTTCTCCAAGGACCCTGGTTTCCTTTATGTGCAGAAGGGAGTTTAGAAACCAAGATCCAGGTCCTCAGTTGTCACTGGAATTATTTGTTTTTAGCTGGATAGTTCTTAACTAGTGGCACATATGTGGGTTATTTGTACTTTTGAAAATATACTTACCCAGACACTTGGTAAATTAATTCATTTAGATCAAGGTGAGGACCCCAGCAGCTATAATTTTTTTAAATCATTTTTTATGGGGATTCTGAATCATAGCTCTGTTGATAAATGTCTTTCTGATCACACAGTCTTTGTCAAGCTGTGGAGAATTCAATTGTTGATAGGTACATTCATTTAAATTATATTTACATTCTAGTCTTGCTTCCTTAAGATTACTCTGAGATTTTTTTCCCCCAGTACTAGAGACTGAACCCAGAGCCTTCATGCTGAGTTATACCTTCATTCCTTAAATTTTTTTTAAAGTTTGAGACAGGGTTTCACCAAGTTACAAGCATGACTCAAGTTTTTGAATCGTTTGCTTCATCACTAACTCTGAGATTCTTTTTTTTGAAAGGGAGGTACCAGGGATTTGAACTCACAACCTCATGCTTGTCAAGCAGGCATGTGTGCTGCTAAGCTAAATCCCCAGCCCCTAGCTCTGAGATTTTTAATGAGCATTAAGGATTTTCCCAGACTCCTCAATAGCAGAGTCCAAATGTCTTTTGTTGGTTTCCTCCAATAAGTACCTAACTACCTCCTTTTTATATGACATTTACCTAAGGACACCTTCATTTTTTTGCATTGGAGACCATCTTCTGAGCACCGTTATTATGTAGGGTCCCTAGTAGGCACACCCATGTGCTCAGGACATTAGCAAAAGAGGTGCTTAGCAGGATGGAAGGTGCAACAAAGAAGCATTTATTTATTTATTTGTTTAAATTTATTTTATGTTATTTATTTTTTTTTTGGTACTAGAAATTGAAAAGAAGCATGTAAACTTTGGCTGAAATTTATCCACAGTTTTATACTTGGAAAATTCAATTAGGAGCTGGGAGGACTGCAAGTTTAAGCCCAGCCTGGGCAACTTAGTGCCTTAGTGAGACATTGCCTCAGATTAAAACAAAACAAAAAAACCCAAAAAGGTAAAAGGGCTGGGGATATGATTTAGTGTGGGAGACCCTGGGTTCAGTCCCAGTATTGAGGGTTGGGGTGGGGTTCAGGAAGAAGCTATTTTAATTTCAGCATAAGTGTAAGTTTTGAGAGTTAATAGATTGGTTTTATTTTATCATTCTTTTGTTGCCTGGAAGACTTTCAGTCTTAATGCTACCTGGGGGCCTATTCTCTTCTCCCTTCTCAACAACAGATTTTTGAAAGCATAGTAATCAACTAACTTTGAAATCTTCAACTCATTTGTCCTGTAAACTGGAGATGATAACTTTCACAGGAACTCTAATTAGCAGGAGTTTTTATCTGTAAGAGAGGGGTTGGGTGTGGTGGCGTACACTCAACAGAGTGAGTTTGAGGCCAGCCTGGGGCTACATGGTGAGTTCAAGGCCATCCTGAAATGCATAGTGAGACCCTGTCTCAAAAAAAGTCGGGGAGGGAAGAGGTAGGAAGCCAGGCAGAACAGTGATTCTTAAATGTTTTGGAGTGGAAGGGATCCCATTTAATACCCAGTGAAAGCTAAAGACCTTGGAAAAATTCACAAAAACATATCACATATGTTCCTTTCCATTTTAGAGAGCCCATGGCTCCTTAGGAGCCAGGTGAAGAGACCCTAGCCCAGAGCCTAAGTGAACTGACTATTCTTCTGCCCACCAGATGGGAGCTCAGAATGTCTGAGCTCCGCAGAGCAGATGGAGTCCGAGGACATGCTGAGCGCCTTAAGCTGGAGCAGAGAAGACAGGCTGAGGCAGAACTCCAGGGCTGCAAACAATGCCTTCCCCGCACTGTCCCCGATGGTTGTCATGAAGAATGTGCTGGTCAAGCAGGTGAGGAGGACTAATACGGCCCACAGTCTGCAGGTGAAAGTTGCTGAGCTTCCTGTATATCGACTCTCCCTCTCTGCTAAAGAGATACTATATCACTAATACTAGAACCACACTAATGCATATTTTCTATCCTAGGGACAAGGTATTACCTTTCAACTACTGACACAATTTTAAAAAGAAGTATTTGGGCTGGGGTTGTTAGCTCAGTGCATGAGACCCTGGCACCCTTCACTGGCACCCTTCACTCAAAAGCATAGAGACACCATATATGTCTTCATTTTTTTAGACCATATTTTTTCAGTATTCATGATTTGTCCAAAGGGAACCTGAAGTGTTTTAGCTATATATAAAGGAAATGAGCTGAAATGTCATTACTTTTGGTGATAAACATTCTAATATATAGCAGAGTTGAGAGTAGAAACCAAAGAATCTCTTTCATTTGAATTGCACTGGGAATTTTAGACATGTAAGACATTTATTTGTTTCAGAATTAGAGGCAATTTCCATGAGTCTTATGTGACATTTGGAATATTTTCATAGTCATCAAGTCAAAACCATGTCATCAGTGACATGGTGGCAGCTCTTCAGCTTTACCAGTAGTTTACGCAGCTTGTTGCAGAGTTGAAAAATACTCTGTTCTGGACTTTGTTATATAACTCTGCATGTTGTGTGATTATTGTCTAGATATGAAAGAATATTTGAGTGAAAACCTAAACTCCAGTGTTTGAGAATTATATAAACTTGGTTAAATTAGAATAGACAAGCCCAAGAAATGGAAAAGATTGATTTAATTTAAAAACATTTAATCTTATCTTACCCCCAAGTATGTCATAATTTGTACATGGGTACATTGATGAGGTTACTTAAAGATAGCAAAAATTTGAAATCCTGCTTTAATGTTGACCTTCCTGTCATGTGATAGAGGTTAGCAGGACCTGGCTGTAGCAAGACAGGAAACCTAATGTCTTACCATAACCTGATTATTTCTGAGGAACACAGACTTTAGCAACATAGCCTGGTGAATTCTGAAAAAGAATTAGATTTTTTGCTTGGTAAATCACAGCTCAGCTGGAACCTCAGCTCTCCTTATTGAAGAGAGAATGAAGACAGGAAATGAAGCCCAAATGAGAGTGTCTCGGCCTGCCAGTGCTACCAGGTGCTTCTGGGTGACCTTCCCTCTGCTGTTTTCTCCCTGCCTTGCTCTGGCTCCCTTGCCACCCTTTCTTTTGCGGCTTGTCGATAAGCTGTCTTTGTTGCGGGGTGGGCTGGCAGCCCTGGAGATGCAGCAGCCTACACACAGGAATGTGTGGGCTCTTCTAGCAGAGCTGCATTCTTCAGAGGCCCACTGGCAGGACTGCTGGGTTTGACTGGGAGACAGGAGGCGTGGGGACAGGCTGGCCTCATGGAGGAGTAGTCTAGTTTTATTTTTTAAATATGCTAGAATCTACATGTCCTAAAATTAAAATAATACATTTTAAAAATTACTTTCATAGTGTGTAATATCGTGATTTCTGCTGCTTGATTTTAGGAATTTTTCTTTCAAAGATTTGACTCCAGTTCTGCTGCTAGACAGTATAATCTTTTTTTTTTTTTTTTTTTTTTTTTTTTGTCTTTTTCCTTTTTATCGGTACTGGAGATTGAACTCACGACTGCCTGCTTGCAAGGCAGGTGCTTATGCCGCTGAGCTAAATCCCAGCCCGACAGTATAATCTTACACATGATTTTCCATCATAGGCTTCTGTTTCTTCATCTTGAACATAAAAAATGATTCTGCGATCCTGTCCATGTCTAAAATTTTATTCCATATTCCCTCAATTTGTAAAATCTAATGACTAGAATAAATGAACAGCAGCACTAGGAAAAACAAATCAGTAAAATCATTTGAGAAAGCAACATATGAGAATTTGAAGGTAGCTTGAAATTTTTTTCCTGACTGAATTCTGTTGGGTGGCTTTCTGCTTCAAAGAGCCCAGATTTTGGGTCCTCTCTGATTAAGTAGTGGCTTCTAGGCCAGCATTGTTTGCACTTATACATCCCAGATGCATTTGACTGTGAAGAGGGCTTCAGAGTGGGTTTGCACAGGAGGGGAATTACAGTGAATCTGATGTTCCTGGCCTAGCTGGAATCCAGGAAGCTGAAGTATAAGCAGAATGGCATGTGTGGGAAGATGGTCCGTGATACGATTCCTTAGTGGCACACTAAGGAGCAAAATCTGTCAGGTGCTCTCTGCCTGGCTGCATCTGCACTCAGCACTTCGGGACTGGGTTCGAGCTGGACTGACCTTCAGACTTTAGAGACAATAGTCTGAATCAGTACCTTCATTAAAATGAAAATTGTAATTGAACACTATAATAAAGGCCATAGCTTTTATTTAGGGTGGATTTTAGGGTCATACAAGATGCATCACTCAGTAACTTGGTGACTTGAAGCAAGGTATTTCAACTCTAAGCCTTAGTTTCTACTCGTGGAGGGAAATGGTAATACCTAATGGGGCTGTTACAGAGTTAACTGAAGTAACCCATGTAGAACATTGCATACATGCCGGCCAATAGACAGCACCAACACGTGGCAGAGTGGATTGGTGGGTATTCAGTTTCACTGTCTTAAAAACAGGGACCCACAGACTCCTGATAAGGTAAACTTTCTGATCAAAAGCTGTTTTTAGTAAGAAATTTCAGGCATAATTAGAACATAAATTTGGTGTAAAAGTCACATAGTCTTAAGATTTGCATGGAAATTGTACTATCTGTAGATGTACTGCCTCTGTTGTGATCTTAATTATATCATCCCTTAGGCTGGGCATAGTAGTGAATGTCTGTAACACCAGTGTGTAGGAAACTGAGGCAGGAAGATCACAGCAAGTTCCAGGCCAGCCTGAAATATATATTGAGACCCTGTCTCAAAAAACAAACTGTATCTTTAGTTCATCTACCTATGGTTTTTTTTCTGAGTGATAAAACTTGAATAAAAATAAGATATATCCTCAAGTGTTTCCTTAAGGAAAGTTTAAAAAAAGTGTGATGTCAGATGCAGATGGATTGCCAAGCTGCTTCCTCAATCACAGTCTTGACAAGGAAGCACTTCCTGGTGCAGGAAGCACTGTGCTAGAGCCAGTGATGCACATCTGCGTGTGCACCTTGGTCCTTGGCAGAAGTGGCCCTCCTCCATCCCGAATGAGCAGCTGCTTTCTTCCGTTGTTTGCAGGGCAGCAGCTCCTCGCAGCTCCAGTCTTGGACTGTCCAACCCTCCTTTGAAGTGATCTCAGCACAGCCACAGCTCTTCGTCCTTCATCCTCCTGTACCATCTCCTGTCAGCCCATGTCACGCCACTGAAAAAAAGTCAGACTCCAGAAACTACTTGCCTATTCTGAATTCGTACACCAAAATAGCCCCACACCCAGGCAAAAGGGGCCTGTCCCTCTGCGTGGAAGAAAGAGGAGCGAGCAGAACACAGAAGAAAGTCTGCACCAAGAGACTGGGTCCCGGCTTGTCTTCCAGTGAGCCGACCAAGACTGGCACTGTACCCTCCAGACCCCCTACTCCAGCCCCACTCAGTGCCAAACTAGCCGAGGACTCTGCTCTGCAGGGTGTGCCCTCCCTGGTGGCAGGTGGAAGTCCACAGACTCTCCAGCCTGTGTCCAGCAGCCATGTGGCGAAAGCACCAAGTCTAACCTTTGCTTCCCCTGCCAGTCCTGTCTGTGCCTCGGACAGTACTTTGCATGGCTTGGAGAGCAGCTCTCCCCTTTCTCCGCTGTCAGCCAATTATAGCTCATCTCTGTGGGCTGCAGAGCACCTCTGCCGCAGCCCAGACATCTTTTCCGAGCAGCGACAGAGCAAACACAGGCGCTTCCAGAATACTTTAGTAGTCCTCCACAAATCCGGCTTGCTGGAGATCACATTGAAAACCAAGGAGTTGATTCGTCAGAACCAGGCAACTCAGGTGGAACTAGACCAGCTAAAAGAGCAAACCCAGCTGTTCATAGAGGCTGCCAAGAGCAGGGCTCCTCAGGCCTGGGCCAAGCTGCAGGCATCTCTCATGTCTGGGTCCAGCCATCCTGGCAGTGATCCAGAATTATTCTCTGACCACTCAGACATATAGCACAGAAGCATATTTTCCAGTCATTGAGTGGTCCTTTTAACTCTTTCCTTTTCCCAAAGCCTGTTTCCCAAAGCCTCCATAACGGTTTTTCCTTCTGAACTCACTTCTGAAGCCACGTGCCAACCCTTGGCTGCTGTCTCAGATTGCGGTCTGTGCACAGATTCCGTAGGTCTATTTTCCAGTGAAGACCTCTGATTCCAGTGTTCTTGAGTCCTTTTTCCTTAGTCTGCAGGTGCTCTACTCTGGATCATGGTGCAGAGCAGGAAAGAAGATGGTGTGGGGCCCTCTTGTCACCCACTCCCATCCCATTTGGTAACTGGATTAAGGGTAACGTGGATGAGCAGACAGTGACACTTGTGAAGCCAGGAGTAGATGACATGAGGGTTCTTCCATAGGTCTCTCCTTGAGTTAAATAGGAGGAATATCTGTGTTGCACAAGGCACCGTGCCAGCTGGGCAAGGTCTGACATGCTTTGGGCACAGGTCATATGTGGGTGCAAGCAGTTAATTACATAAAGCTTTGTTTTCTTAAACTTGAAAGTCAAGGAAAAGGGTAATACCACTTGACTCAGATGCTTTGATCACAAGCCAGATTTCACTTAAGTAGGCAAAATACTTCATATTTCTAAGATATGGAATGGATTCACGACCATCTGGAATTGTAGGTGATGGTTTATTATATTGATTGAGAGACCAAAAAAAAAATAAAAATAGAAAATGCTTTCATGTCTTCGTTAGCAGCTGAACGATTCTGGTAACACACTTTGTTCAAACAATGAAAATGGTTTTTGTCTGAAAAGCTCAAGGGTAGCTTCAGTGGTTCCTAAAGGTATGATATGAGTTGCCCTCCTGCCGCCACTATAGCTGGGTGTTTTCCTTTGTTTTTATAATCAATAAAATCATCCTGAGGTTATGAGAATAAGGCCACAAAATGTTGGATTTTTTTTTTTTTTTTTTTTTTTTTTTTTTTTTTTTGAGACAGGGCTTCTCTGTGTAGTTCAGACTGCTGACCTTAAACTCACTAGCCCAGGCTGGCCTCAAAACTCACAGCACTCCTCCTGCCTCAGCCTCCTGAATGCTGGGATTACAGGTGTGCACCACCATGCCCTGCTCTTACAAAAAAAATGTTGAGCTTTTACTAAACCCAGAAGTTAAAGCATCATTTTACTGGGTAGTTGTAATTCTAACATAGCTTAGAAATCTTAAGAGTTCTGATTGTACTGTGTTCACAAACATACAATTTAGATATGACTGGTTCAGAAATAACTCAGTAAAGTGCTCAGTTCCTTTAATCAACACAGAATTGTTACCTGCTGTTCGCTTTTCTGAACGAGTTTCCAAAATCAGAACAAATGTGTCTCTAAGCAGACTTAGCTCCTTGTAATATTTTTTCTCTCAGCCCATTCCCTTTACCTTCCTTCAATCTGTATGGTGCTATAGCCGCTCTACTCTGCACCATGCTAGGAAGCATCCTTTTTGGCAGAAATACGGCTGGCAGCAAAGTTACTAGTGACAGGTGCATGTAGAACAGCCTGGGCACTAGTCATGAGTCGTACTGAGTGTCAATCTGAAAACGCTTGCTGAGAACCAAATGTATTTCATTCGGAAAACCCTCAGAAGAGCAGTAAGCCTCTTGGACTCTTCTTCCTAGGTCACTAAAAGATGATGAAAACCATTATTCTCACTGCTGAGTGGCAGGGAGAGGGGGACCCTCTGGCTTCTTTCTGATCTTGTACTGAAGCTGGGAGTCTCTAGATTATTAGCATGGGTATTCTTTCCCTGGTGAAGCTGGAAGTCAAGGAACCTCAGTAGAGAAGCTAGATTTTAAAAGGAGAGACCCCAAGGTCAGAAGCCTGATCAGCAAATGGAGGAGCTTCAGTGTTGACCAGGAAGATCACTGGTTGCACAAGTCTGTAAGTAGCAATGGGCTTAGGAATGCATGATGTAATTTGGTATGGAGTGCTGGGGCAGGTCTACTGTTTTATGAAGGTAGAAGCTAATTTTAGCTCAAACTGTTAGAACTTTTGGCAGATTTTATTGGCAATATTGAAACATCTAGAATAAGCTGGTTGAATTAGTTATGGGAATGGAGTCTAATGACATTTGTAATTTATTATACTCATTGCTTTTTATTGATTATAGTATTGTCTTTTTTTTTTTTTCTCTACTAAGATTCTTTAGCAGAAAAGTAACTCTTGTGCATATTCTGAAGTGGTTTTCCAGCTATAAGTTCTCTAGGCTAGAAACTAACCAAATGTGAATTCTTCTGAGAAGGTATGAAGTTACGTAGAAAATGACTGTGAAATGTCAGAGAAAAATAAAAGTCACTTACTTGAAAGCTATTTGGCCTATTTGCTTGTTAACTGTTAAAAAGTACCACGTGATTATAGAGTAAATATTTGAATTGACGTAACTTTCAAACATAGATACTTGTGCTATTTGGAAATACTGGGATTGGATACTGAGTATGTGGAAATTCATTGTTCAGACTTTCTTGTGTGAACTTAAAAAGAATATCGGGTCAAGCTAGCTAAGTGACACGGCACCTGCTGGCGTGCATGAAGCTGTTTGATTCCCAGTACCAAATATATAGTAGTTCATCTTTTCCCAGCACCGTGGAGGCTGGGAGGAATGAGGGACTACAGCCGAGATTTCTTTCTTCTAACCTATTTCACAAGTGGAATATTTAAATGGTAAAACTACTACAGTTGTATAGCAAGATGAACAGTAGCCACATTGAGTGCTGTTCTTCCTACAAATGGTCCTTAGAAGTGTGTCTCAGCGCCTCCCTTTGTGCTTCCTAAAGCTGCCCCCACAAGGTTCACCTGGAGACTCTTAACAGGGAGATGTGGAGCCCTTCCTGCTTCCCAGGCCACTCACAATCCCCTTCCTGGTTTTTTTTTGTTTTTAATTTTTTTTTTTTTTTTTATCGGTACCAGGGATGGAACTCACAACTGTGTGCTTGCAAGGCAGGCGCTTATGCCACTGAGCTAAATCCAAAGGCCCCCTTCCTGGGGTTTTTAAGATGCTGGGAATATAGTTATTCTCCTAAGAAGGTTTATAGTATTGCCATGGTCTAAGTCTCATAGTATTATTTTTGTCCTATGGAACTAAGTGACTTTCAAATTTATGGCTGTTAAGGAAACTAAAATGAAAGAATAATGGGGTAAAGATGGCTAGGAAGGCCCCTCCCAATGGGAGAACCATTCTTCCTAAGAAGTGAGTCCCGAGAAGTGAAGAACCCCAAAAGCAGATCCGGTGAGGCTCGGGAGAGCCCAGTTACTCAAGTTCATAGCTCTCAGTGTTTCCTGGATGAGGAAGTACCTGCCTGCCTAGGTCTGCCTTTTGTAAACAGGACTGTCTAAGCCACATTGCTGATGCCATCACCACAGGCCGTAGTCTGATGCAGGTGTCTACAGGCCTGCATTTACATGTCGTGTTTATTACTTATTAACTGGTGGCTTGGGCCAGGCCAGCCTCTCCAGATGTCACTGCTCTCAGCTGAATAATAACTGATTATCTCTCAGGTTCTTGCCAGCACTAACTTTAACATCTATTGCTATTTACCGTTAAGCCATAAACTATGTTCATTTAATTTAGTTTATTTATTTATACTGGGAATTGAACGCAGGACCTTGAATTGTCAGGCAGGCAAGGCTTTGCCACTGAGCTGTATCCCTGACAGTACATTAACTTTAAAAAGAAAAAATTGGGATGTTTAGAAAAGGTTTCCTGTGCTGCTCCAGTAAGATGGTTTTACATTACAGTGTTCTTTCTGTGGGAGTTTTAGCTTGTAATAGGTATCGATGGGACAAGCATTTTCTGGTCTGCATTGGTTTTGCCTTTCTTATAAACACCTACTTACAGTCAACATGGATTCATTAATTCCCAAGTTTAAAAAAAAAAAACTGCTTTCAAACAATTTTCAAAGAATGTTTATTAGCCAAAAGGAGAATAATTTGTGATTGAGTCACATCTTGTCCTTTGCTGGTCAGTCATCTGCAAACAGTCCTTTCCTTTTATCTGAGATAAAGGGGACTGACTGTTTTATCTTTTGTAGAGTGTGCAATTAGCTTTTTATTTCCCCTCAGACTTCTCTCCTGCAGGCAGAAGTGCAGTTTCTTCCTGTGCCGTCAGGTCGATAGATAACACTGCTTCTGCTGTCCATAGAGACCACACTGAAGTGTCTCTTGTGGCCCCAATGCTTGGGTGTCACCTTCCACCTACATGGGAAGGCACATTAGAGATGAGAAAGGGCCACCTGCCTGATGAAGCATAATCAGAATTGCTATACGGCCTGGCTCTTGCAGTCCTTATCTCTGTTACCTCAGTTTCCCTTACTAAGAGGAGAGAGAATCTTTGCTGTACACTTGACATCCTGAGCTCAGTGTGCAGTGCAGGAGAATGATGTCCCAAAGAAGTTTCAAAATTGCTCTGCAGAGCAAAGCAATCTCCAGCACACAAACCCTGGAATGAAATTCAGGGGAGACCATGCAGCCTCTGAAAGGCTGTCATTTTCTCGGGATAATTAAGACTGTCTTTCGCCAACATTTCGTACAGTTAACAGGAAGAGAGCAAATGCCAACCCGCAGTGGTTTCACTTTGCCTGACTTTCTGGAAGAAGATATTGGTGGCTCTATGTATGACTGCTTTGGTTTTTTCCTCTCCCTCCTCCATTCTTACAAAACGTGGCCTCCCTCTATGAAGGACGGTTATGCAAGACATTAGAGAATTGCTTGAAAGAACAGTCTGCATGACTCCTGCCTCAAATTACAGCAGCTGGAGGAGATGAGCAAGAAAGGGAGCAAAGCCTGTGGAGTACGAAGTGAACAGAGCGAGTGGGTGGAAGCTGTTAGGAAATGAAGGGGAATAAAAACCGAAAGTAGGATCCCAAGGCAGCCCACGTGAGAGCCCCGTCAGTGAATGACTGGTGTTCCCAGCAGGCTCTGCAGAGTGGCCTGAAAGCCTGTGAGTACAAATAGCTGCCTTTCATTTTCATAGAGATTCACTTTGTCTCAGAAACTGCACTAGCCCTGGAAGGATGCTCCTTCATTCTGGTGAATGGCCCAAGACAGGAAAGCTAGAGGCCTCCTCAGAGATCAGCCTGCACACTTAGCCTGCTGAGGGCTTGGCCTGGGACCTGCCCCTCTTCTTTTGGGGCTGACAGTTAAAAAAAAAAAAAAAAAGACAAATCAGGATTCACTACTTCTAGATGACAAACCATACTGTCTCGTCAGAGAGCTGGATTGAAATCACCTGCACTTACCTCTCCTACAAAGTAGAAACTGCACTGGGAGAGGCAGGGAGAGTTTCTCTTACCTCTGAAGGTCCCCTGGAGTGAACTGATAATAGATCAGTCAGGAGAAAGGGCATCTAATTTATTAACATGTATAAGGGGAAAATCACAGGAGTGTGATTCTTACTAACCCCATAAGACTCAGAGGGTCGCATGCCCTTCCTTGTAGGAGACTGGGAAATGGGAAGATAGAGGCAAGCTCAAGTAGTAATAAGTGCTTTTTAAAAAATGAATGAGTTGGGCTGGGGATTTAGCTCAGCGGCATAAGCGCCTGCCTTGCAAGCAGGCAGTTGTGAGTTCGATCCCTGGTACCGATAAAAACGAAAAAGACATAAAAAAAAAGAATGAGTGGACACTAAGAGAAAGTCATTCAAAAATGATTTTCTTTGGAAGGAGAGTAGCTTATGGCAAAGTCTGTTAAGGTGTGGTGACGTTCCTTAGTTTCCCTTTTTACCATCTGAGGCCAATTAGTGAACTCTCAGAGAAAAGAGAGACCAAGCCCAGGTCTGGGCTTTAGATGGATTAGGGGATATCAGAGTAAAACCTCTCCAGTGTCTGCTAGTCTCCAAGGGTCTTAACTTAGAATAATCAGCATACCAGGGCACCATACTTGGGGTGAAATTCCCTTGCTTCCTTCATCCCAGAGTCAGGGGAAGAAAAGAAGCTGGAAATGGTATACACAGATAAAAAAAAGTCATCTTCAACAGGTCCTGCATCATCTTTAACACATGCAGGAAAACCTGGCTTGGGTTCCTGCTCAGCATCCCCAGTGAATGTTTAATTTTGCTTCCCTCTGTTCTCCAGAAGCCTTTTGGGCGGCCTCCTCACTACACAGCCCAGAAAGTGCGAATGAATGTTCACTGAGGCACGACACAGAGGAAGGGCTGGGTCTGCCACACCCAACCGCCCAGAATGCCCACAACCCAACACAGTAGCAGATGTGGCTGAGGAAGCATGTTTTCAGTAATGGTCCCTTGCACTCCAGCAGCCTGAGAGGGGCTGGATAACTTTTTTTTTTTTGGCTTTTTGGTTTTTATCGGTACCAGGGATCGAACTCACGACTGCCTGCTTGCAAGGCAGGCACTTATGCCACTGAGCTAAATCCCCAGCCCCTGGGGCTGGTAACTTACAAGGATATTCAAGCCGGTGCTTGTCTAGTTAAGGTGTATTTAGAAGTATAGTATTGTGCCTTCCACTCTGTGATTATTTTATTCTTGAAGCATTTTACAAGCATTAGTTGTACTGTGAAGCCCCTAGGTAGTAAATTACTAACTGCTGATTGTACTAGGCAGGTTAGATCACTGATTTCCCTTTTGCTCAGCCTCTGCAAGGACTGGCCTCCTGGTCCCACCATAGGAAGATTAGGAAATATGGGTGAGCACACATTGGATGGTAATTGTGTCTGCCACACCGATTTTTTTCTTAATTCAAGGGAATAAAGGATTCTAGGATCCCTCAGTTCAAAGGTGAGCAGGCACCAAACAGCCCTGATTAAATCCCACTTTGAGAACCTTTAAATATCTTGGTCCTCATGTCCTCATGTTCAGATATGGTCCTCATTACTCATTGTTCCTTCCTCCTCATCTTCTTCCTAAATATTTGTAATCTCAAAGCCTAATCGTTTCTACTTTTGAAACTTCTAATGGTTCCTGAAGCTTAGCTAACTAAAGCATTGTCATTGCCACATCAGGGTGACAAGTATATTGTTAACATGATTTTGGGGCCAGGCACTATAGAGTATTGCATGGTCACTGTCAACACACAAGCTCTCTCCTTGTCTCATGAGGAATACCAGTGGCTATCAGTCATCTGTCATTTTGATGGTTCTCATTAGATCTTGTACCCCACAAGTTAGGGTGATGACTCCTCTTAGCTCAGTGGTCAGAGCTTTGCACCCTCTGATTCAAGAGTCTTTATTGTCAGAGTATTGAGAACAGAAGTGTAGCAATAGGCACAGCACATCAGCTGTCCACCCAGGCACAGTAGGTGTTCTCAGAAGTGTATTGTCCTGCCCAGAAGCTTACCTCCAGACTTCCGAGCTCAGCC